CCGCTTATCAAAGGCTAACCACCCAGTGCGTTCAGAGAACACACAGTCGACATGGGTTTACGGGAAAGCCTACGATTTCTGGATACTAAGGGTCTAGTTGAGAATTTGTTTCACAACAGAGAGGTGCATTGTAACTGTTTAATCTAATAGTAACTGACCGTAACGATGAGGCACGCTCTATGCACTGATCTACGATGGAATGAGAAAAAGATAAAATAAGTTAAGTTTAAGTCATAAGGTGAGATCAAGGGGGAGAATGTTAAATTGATCTCTACGAATTGGCCCAACGGCCAATTAGGCCCTTGATCCGTGCCCTGATCGGGGGCGCCCATCCATTCTCCTGGATGATGGACCCCGTCGCGCAGCACTATAAAGAGGAAGGTTGGGGCCAGGGCGCATGGGACGAGGTTCACCATAGCCGCCAGCACCCATCGATGTCCTAACCCTAGACCGATCGAGAGGGTGTGCTGTGAGTGACGGGAAGCGCCATCGCCTTCGCCGCCGCCACTGGATCGTGTCTCCACGTCGCTGCTACCTCGTCGGCGGCGCCATGGCCACGACTGCCTCTCGATGAGGTACTTAACAAGGTATTGTCTAAGTCAAATTTTATCTATTGATCCGCACCTAGAGGTACTACAAATTCTATCAGATGGCAGCTGCAATAGAAGAGACTTGGGTATATGTGTCAACTGTCAAGTTCATGATGAAAGGACATTCCAGTGGAGAGATTTGTCGCACATTAACGTCCCAATGCAGAGAACGCCTTGTCCGCTTGGCTTATAAGCCATACTTTTTAAGCCAACGAACAATATTTTTCTCTCACAACAAATTAGCCAACGGTACTTTCAGCCATTGCTTATCAGCCAAACGGTAGAAATTTCCAGCCCAAACAAAGGAGTGAACAACGGAAAGCATCAAAGGAGACGGAATTCAATAACTTATGTGAAGAAGCTGGCTTTTCAATGATGGCCTTCCAATCCCTTAATTTATGGAAATAATTATCTTCCTAGCCTAGAGCATCTGGTTGGTGAGAAATGATTGGATATCTAAGCAAGTCCCACCCTCTGTCGAAGCTTGAGCTAAGTTCAAACATGAATTTGCTTTGCTTTTGGATAGCTTCTTGCAATTTTGTTCTCTGCGCTTTTTTATTTTTTTTGGACTGGTTGTTTTTTTATTCTTGTTTTTTAATCTATTTATAAAAATATATCCAGTAGAGGCAAGCCGCTCCTGTTTCCTCAAAAACTTATGTGTGAAGAACTGGTTCAGCACCATGTCATTTGGAATACAAATGTGGAAGACAAATATTACATTTGCGCTAAAAGGGTTCCATTCACACAGAAGGTGAGAAGAATCAGAATTAGTAAGGATCGCAACTTTACTCACGAACTAGAACTAGTTTTCCAGTCGTTCAGGTTGGGAATGTGACAAATATTAAAAGCATCATGGAGTGAATACAACTACTTCCAGACGTGTAATACGATTTCTGAAAGGACTGCTGGACAAATTCAGATGTGAAAACAACTAGTTCCAGGAGTGAAATACATACCATAAGTTTTGACTGTACCGCTGGAAAGGTGTGAAATCAATCTAGCTTGGCAAAATGACACTCATCAGCAGGTCCACTTCAGATAAATATAAAAAATCATGTCATCAAAATCAACGATATCATTCAGATCAATCTGAGGGCGACTCACTAGACTTTCCTGCCCCAGCCTATTGTCAACTCTCCCTTGAAATGTTCTTGCAGTCATACCATTGAACAAACAAAGAAAAATTATTCTAGCATTCAAGATTTTGCCTTACATGTCACATTTTTCGTGGCTTGACTCGCTTGGACTTTGTCATGGATCCCTTTTCATCCGTCACTTTGATGTATAATTTTTTGCGATACCTTGGATAGTTGGTTGTCTTCCTAAACCTTCCACTACAATCTCAGCCACCTCTAGACTTTTTTCCCTTCTAAAAAAATCTCAGCCACCAATTGGAATGGAAGAAAACCGATCGCTACGTCATTTTCCTCTTGCAAATATGGGCCAAAGAGCTAGCTACTCGATTGCTGCAAAATAAATTACATACCACAAAGCAGAAACAAGCAATACACACTTCCCGCTCCCACGAAAGCAATAAATTCCTGCATCTTACTGAGTTCTTACAGCTGCAGAAATGCCTAACCTTTTGCATCTACCCTTCCTTTTTACCCATGCTACTTTCCGTGGCCCTAAACCTTGTATGCTTCACCACTGTCACCAGTGAGGATCAGTTCGTCAACTCGGGCTTCTCCGGCAATAACTTCACCCTCGATGGAACAGCCACGGTCACCAGACGGTGTCCTTGAGCTGACCAATCACACAGTACACCTTAAAGGCCATGCGTACGTTCTACCCAGCTCCATGGCGATTCCGCAAGTCCCCTGGTGAGATGGTGCAGTCTTTCTCAGTTACCTTTGTATTCGGTATGGTCCCCATCTACTCTGATGAATGTACCGATGGCATGACTTTCCTAATCTCTCCGACCAAGGATTTCTCTGGTGCACAGCACTCACAATACTTGGGTCTCCTCAACAAAACAAGTGACGGCAAAGCAAGCAGCCACATATTTGCAGTCGAGCTTGATAGTAGCCAAAATACCGAGTTCAATGACATTGATGACAACCACATAGGCATCAACATCGACAGTCTCACCTCATTTCAGTCCCGATCAGCTGCCTTCTACGATGACAAGAATGGTAAATTCCAAAACTTGTCCCTTGTGTTGGAACCCGATCTGCTGAATCGCCCGGAACGTCGACGAATGGCGGCAGGGCGGTGACCGCGACGAGCCTTGCGAGTAGATGGAAACACAATAACAATAAAACGAGAAAAGGTGGATTATGACGCTGCTAAAACGCAGCTTATTTCGGCCCCTCTATTCTTATATTTATAGACTCGAGTTTACACAAACTCCCCACGCCGTGCCGCACAGGTGCGCTGCACCGTTTCACCGCGATGCGCGCCACATGCGCCGTGCACGCCACGGCGTGGCTCGACCGAACCAGACAGGCTAGATCATGATCGAGCATGTCATCGACCATGCCTTGCCCCTATTCTAACTGACGTTGGACTCCAACAGAAACAAAGATTACATTGCAACAAATTAGCTAACAAATCTCCCCCTAACTTGTTGCACCTCAACGACGCCAAGAGCGCTCCTCAGCTCCACGAACCTGACCCGCCCGAGCGACTTCGTGAAAATGTCTGCTAGTTGGTCTGCAGTCCCGACATGCTCCACCTCCACCTTTCCTTCTTCTATGCATTCACGAATGAAATGAAACTTCGTATCAATATGTTTACTGCGATCATGATGCACAGGATTCCTGCTCAGGGCTATCGCGGACATGTTGTCCATCAACAGTTTCACTGGCACCTCCTTTGTTCCCAATACATCAGCTATCAGCCGGCTCAACCACACGCCTTGACAGGCTGTTGCCGCCGCCGCCACATACTCCGCTTCGCATGAAGACAATGCAACGATCTTCTGCTTCTGCGAAGCCCAAGTCACCAAGCTACTGCCGAGAAAATACACAACACCCGTAGTGCTCTTCCTGTCCTCAGCATCTCCTGCAAAATCACTGTCGCTATACCCGGGCAAGATAGGTTTTAGCCCAGTGCCTTTCTCATACTTGCAGCCGTAGCCCATGGTGCCCTTCAAGTACCTTAGAATGCGTTTGACAGCAATCCAATGGTCTTTTCCCAGAGCCTCCATGTATCTGCTCACCACCCCTACCGAATAGGCTAGATCGGGCCTGGTATTTACTATGTATCTGAGACTTCCGATAATACTTCTATACGCTGTTGGTTCCACAGCCTCTCCCTCTTTACTCTTGTAGAGCTTCAGTCTTGGTTCCATTGGGGTGTCACATGCATTGCAATTTGTCATGCCTGCACTTTCCAATATCTTCACCGCATATGAACCTTGACTCAAGGTGATCCCTTTCTCTCCTTGTTTCACTTCAATCCCCAAGTAATAACTAAGGAGCCCGAGGTCACTCATGCTGAACTTCCTTTTCATCTCTGCTTTAAACTTCTCAATGTCACCCACACAGGGCCCTGAGATGATCAAGTCATCAACATATACCCCCACAATGAGAAAAGAGGCCTTGCTATTCCTCTTGTACACAGCGTGATCCATGTTGCTTTTCACAAAGCCTAGAGCCAAAAGCTCCTTGTCAAGCTTAGCATTCCAGGCCCTAGGTGCCTGCCTCAAGCCATACAGAGCCTTTCTTAACTTCAACACTTTGTCACCATTGCCTACTATGAAACCAGGGGGCTGCTTCACATAAACCGTTTCAGACAAATCTCCATTCAGGAATGCACTTTTTACATCCATATGGTGTACTTGCTATCCACCCTGCGCTGCTAAAGCCAGCAAAACCCTCACTGTTTCAATCCTAGCAACTGGTGCAAAAACATCATCGAAATCAACTCCCTGCACTTGAGCATAACCCTTTGCCACTAGCCTGACTTTATGCTTGACAATGTTACCATCAGGATCCTTCTTCACTTTAAAAACCCATTTGAGACCAATAGCATTTTGATTCCTCGGGAGATCACAAACTTCCCAAGTTTTATTAGCCTCAATTGCCTGCATTTCAGCTTTCATAGCATTCCTCCAGCAGAGTTCTGTCAGAGCTTGATCAACTGAACTTGGTTCCTCTGCTGCAACCAAGCATACCCCACTGTATTCCAACTGGACTTCATTTGTTGTATCCAGCAGGTTCGGTATTGTCCTATACCGCAGTGGCGCTCCCTCTGAATCCACAGCACCATCAGTAGGGGGCGTTGCCCACTGTATTTGATTTCCTCCATTTGATCCGCCAATGGAGTGCTCCGGAGTGTACGGTGACTCACCACCTGCACCCCCAGGGGGTGGAATTGACTGAACAGGTGAGGCTGGCTCACTCGCCTCCCCCGAATCGCCCAAGGCATCGAGATCTTCAGTGGTGTCCCCTATTGTCGGACCCGCTACAGTAACCTGTTCATCAGGATAGAACACACTGAAACTCGGTTCAGTGTCAGTGTCTGCTTCAGTAACACCTGTTCCTTTCTCCCCCCAATTCCAGCCCTTCTTCTCATTGAATACGATATCCCTTGAGATCATGAGCTTCTTATTCACCGGATCATAGATCCTACAAGCCTTCGATCCTGGTTCATAACCAAGAAAAACTCCTGGAATGGCCCTGTCCGTCAGTTTTGATATACCCGGACCAATCCGCTTGGCATAAGCCAAACACCCAAACGTTCGCAGGTGACGAACTCCAGGTTTCTTGCCAAACCACGCCTCGTAAGGCGTCTTGCCATCCAGGCTCTTCATCGGTGCTCGATTAATCAAATACACCGCCACCATTACTGCCTCCCCCCAGAACCGGCCAGGAACCTGCATACTCTTGAGCAAGCAGCGAGCCATCTCTACAACCAATTGGTTTCTCCGCTCTACTACGCCATTTTGCTGCGGGGAATATGGTGCAGTTGTATTGCATTTAATACCATTTTCATTACAGTAAACTGTAAACACACCTGAATTGAATTCGCCTCCTCTGTCAGTTCTGAATGCCTTCAGTCACTTTCCAGATTCGGCTTCAGCAGCTGCCTTCACCTTCTTGAAACTTGCAAAAGCTTCATCCTTCGACCTCAACAGCTCCAGCCACATATAATGGCTGAAGTCATCGACGATTAACAGGAAGTACAGCTTGCCTCCTGGTGTGGCTGGTGTGACTGGACCGCATAGGTCTCCATGCACCAGCTCGAGTCCGGTGTTTGCTCGATACGTCGATGCCCGGGGAAAAGGCGCGTGGTGCTGCTTGCCTAGTGCGCAGCCATCGCAAACTTGCTCGGCACGGTGGATCAGTGGGATGCCATCCACCATCTCCTTCGCCCCCAGATCACGAAGCGACCTGAAATTTAAATGGCCATACCGTGCATGCCAGAGCCACGCCGCCTCGTCCATCTTCATCATCAGGCACACTGGTACGGTGAGGTTGACCTGCATGATGTAAAGTCATTTCTTCCTCTCCGCCTTTATCAGAACACTCATCTTCCCTTGTGAGCGCTCAAACACCTGCATGACCCCGTGATATATCTCCACACGGCAGCTAGCTTCCTCCAGTTGCCCAAGGCTAACAATGTTGCAACGGAGTGATGGTATGTAATATACCTCAGTGAGTACTCGATGATCTTGGTTCTTCCCGGTGATCGTGGCTGCACCGATCCCGCAGATCTTAACCTTACGATCCATCTCCGAACCGCACCGCCCCTTTGATTGTCTCTCATCGAAAGCGACGCCAGGCGATTCACGGCACCCCGTCATATGATTTGTGGCGCCAGTGTCGAGTACCCATGCCCCCCGGTCGTATGATGCCGGGAACACGCGTTCTGATTCAGAACACTGTTGTGTAGTCTGCTGTCGTGGATCGAACCACATTACACACCCCGCCAATGACGGTGCTCCATTCTCTCCGTCGGCATTGGCATGGTGCGCGGCCTCCTGCCGCTCCTTCAGAGGTGCTTTCTTGCACTCCTTTCCCCAATGCCCATAGACGCCGCACTTGCGGCATTTTCCTTTCCGTCGTGGTGTTCCCATCGACGTAAGTTCGGGCTCATGCCCTTCACCACTGCCATTGTTCTTGCGCCTCCAGTGCTTCTCGTTCTTCAACAAGTGTCCACCGCCTCCACCACCCTTTGCAGTAGATGTGGATGATTCTGACACCATGCGACTCTTGTTCTTCTCAGCCCATTCTTCCTCCGTTAACAGGAGTTTTCCGGCTTTCTCCGTGACCTGCTCCATCGAGGGCTCAAATCTTTCCTCGGCCGCCCGTAGATGGCCGATCAGCTCCTCGATGGTCAAGTTTTTTAGATCCTTGAACATCTCGATTGCTACTGCCACCTGGCTGTAGCGAGACGGCACCACGCGAAGGAATTTCTTCACCACGCGTGCATCGGTCACAGTTTCCTCCCCGAGGCCGCGCAGATCCGTGACTAGCTTGGTGATCCGGATTGCGAAGTCATCAATTGTTTCTCCCCGCTTGAACGCGATCGCCTCGAACTCGGCCAGGACCTTTTGAGCGTTAACTTCCTTGACGCGATCTGCTCCAAGACGCACCATCTTGATTGCTTCCCAATCCTCCTTCGCCGTCTTCTTGTTCAAGAGCATGGAATGCATCTCCTGCGGCACTCCCCGGAGCATCGCTCCCAGTGCCAGCCGATCTCGGCGTCTTTCGACTTTTTCATCCTCGATCGCATCCCAGAGATACATCCCCTCGAGATTGCACTGGATATGGGACGACCAACCCTGGTAGTTGGTGCGAGTCAACATCGGCCACGTCAAGTTTCCAGCAGCCTGATTAAACGCCCGCTCCATCGTCTCCTTCTCCGCCTTGTTGCTCTCCTCTCCCATGGCGACTGCTTTGGCGTTTACGTCTCCCTCTTCTCCGACTTGATGGATTGCACCACCAGACTTCCTCTACTCCTTCTCACCACCGACGAACGTCACCCCCTCGGCTCTGATGCCAATTGTTGGAACCCGATCTGCTGAATCGCCCGGAACGTCGACGAATGGCGGCGGGGCGGTGACTGCGACGAGCCTTGCGAGTAGATGGAAACACAATAACAATAAAACGAGAAAAGGTGGATTATGACGCTGCTAAAACGCAGCTTATTTCGGCCCCTCTATTCTTATATTTATAGACTCGAGTTTACACAAACTCCCCACGCCGTGCCGCACAGGTGCGCTGCACCGTTTCACCGCGATGCGCGCCACATGCGCCGTGCACGCCACGGCGTGGCTCGACCGAACCTGACAGGCTAGATCATGATCGAGCATGTCATCGACCATGCCTTGCCCCTATTCTAACTGATGCTGGACTCCAACAGAAACAAAGATTACATTGCAACAAATTAACTAACACCTTGTTAGTCGCAAAGAGATGCAAGTTTGGGTGGACTATAATGGAGAGACCGCACAGATCAACGTGACACTGGCTCCCCTCAGGGTAGCCAAACCATCCAAACCTCTACTGTCAGCTACCTACACCTCTCAACAGTGTTGGAAGACCCATCCTACATTGGCTTCTCTGCATCAACTGGTCCAATCAATTCACTATATTGTGTGCTCGGCTGGAGCTTAGGCATTAATAGCCCAGCTCCAGTTATTGATATCGCCAGGTTGCCAAAGCTACCAACTGTTGGCCCGAAACCTCTGTCCAAGGTGCTTGAGGTCGTCCTACCAATAGTCACAGCCACATTCATTGTCCTTGTTGGGACAACTATAATTCTATTTGTGCGGAGGCAAATGAAGTATGCTGAGGTACAAGAAGATTGGGAAGCCGAGTTCGGGCCACACCGCTTTCCCTACAAGGATTTATTCCATGCTACGGATGGATTCAAGAATAAGAATCTACTTGGCTTAGGAGGATTTGGGAAGGTGTATAAAGGTGTGCTCCCTATCTCAAAATTAGAGGTTGCTGTAAAGAGGGTGTCACATGAATCAAATCTGGGAATGAAGGAGTTTATTGCTGAGATTGTCAGTATTGGCCGTCTCCGTCATCGCAACCTGGTCCAGCTACTTGGTTATTGTCGAAGGAAAGGTGAAAAGTCTTGATAAGTATTTACATTGTGAAGAGGGTATGCCCACTCTGAATTGGGCTCAAAGGTTGTAAATCATCAAAGGCGTTGCATCTGGCCTATTCTATCTGCATGAGAGGTGGGAAAAGGTTGTAATCCACCGGGACATCAAAGCAAGCAATGTGCTACTTGATAGTGAGATGAATGGACGTCTAGGTGATTGTGGTCTTGCAAGATTGTATGATGACGGTACTAACCCACAGACAACACATGTAGTTGGTACCAAGGGATATATTGCCCTAGAACTGGCCCGTACCGGTAAGGCAACACCTCTGACAGATGTGTAAGCATTTGGTATTTTCATTCTTGAGGTAACTTGTGGGCAAAGGCCAATCGATAGTCATGCAGAGGATAGCTCGCAGATCCTAATTGATTGGGTTGTCATGCATTGGTACGAAGGATCACTCACATACACAATGGACAGTAGGTTACAAGGTAGTTACAATACAGATGAGGTATGCCTAGCATTAAATCTAGGATTGATGTGTGCACACACAGTTTGTAATGCAAGGCCCAGTATGAGGCAAGTCATACAATACCTCAATGGCGAGATGCCACTCCCAGAAATGATGTCCACAAACTTAAGTTATAGCGTTCTGTCCCTGATGCAAAATGAAGGCTTTGATCAGTATACATCCATATCTGGGAGCAGTGGCATTACCTCCAGCCTCTCAAGCGGAAGGTGACAATAGATCATAGATGACAATCCATCCCAGCCCCCAGGGCTAAACCATGTTGTAATCAGTTGGCCTCGTTAAATTATGGAAGTCTACTGTAATAATTGTTAGTTTTGCCGGCGCAATATTTACCTCAAGTCCACTGTTCTCTAATCTAACTAATTTGAAATGTGAACTTTGTATTTGTCAAAGTATATGGAATAGATATGAAAGAATCCAGTTTTTATGATACGATAGGATTAGTTTCCATCTCTATGTCTAGGATTCCTACTCGGCCAAAATCCATTATTGCAGGTAGGCATCCCATACGCCTGCAATTAAACGTTTGCACTAATGAGGACCTACGGAGGCGGCCATACGCCCACCTAGGTTAATCAATAAAAAACAAAAAAAAGCTAGTGATCCCGTCGATGGGGCTTGCTGAGCCCATCGACGAGGCCCGCCAAGCCCATCAAAGCGTCACCGCTTGTCGGATCCGCGAGCACCCATCATTGCCGCTACTCAGATCCGGACGGCCACGAGTGCCCGCTCCACGCCGCCACGAGCAGAGCAGCCCCCGCCGCCGCAAGCACAAGTGGCCGCACGCCACGTGCCCCACCGCCATGCTGCCCCAGCCGCATCTGGCCCCGCCAGGGGCCGCGCTGCCGTGCCACCCCCGCCGCGTCTAGCCCAACCCTATCCGCCGCGTGAGGAAGAGGGAGGCGCACCGCCGCGCGAGGAAGAGGGAGGCGCGCCGCCGCGCAGGTGAAAGGGAGGTGCGCCACCATGTGGAGGAGAGGGAGGAGTGCCACTGCACGAAGGAGAGGGAGGGGCACCGCTGCACGGGGGAGTGGGAGGGGCACTGAGAGGGATGGCACTGCTTGAGCGAGAGGGTGGAGCTGAGAACGAGAGATATTGGATAAGTCAGTGAAAACCATAACTCTAGTATTTATAAGCGTGATAGAAGGTATGATATGGGCTTTGGCCAGGCCTCAGACATATTTACAGAGGCAGGTCTTTTAGGAGGTCCATCTCCAAAAATGAACTCTATTTTCGGAGGTCAACCTCTTAAAAGGCTTGCCTCCGTAAATCCATTTTAGCTAGGAGGCGTACAATTTTTAATCGCCTCTGTAGATAAAACATACGTCTCCAAAAATCCTTAGGTATTTTAGGAGAAAGTTGGATTTTTTGACCGCCTCAGTTAATGATTATGTCGGTGTTTCGAACAAACACCGGCTAGTAAATTTGTAATTTGTTGCGCGTTAGGCCCGGATGGTTCACTAAAGGACACGAGGTTTATACTGGTTCGGACTGAACGTCCCTACGTCCAGTCTGCTGCTGCTCGTGTTATTAGTACCGAAAAAGGTTCGTAGTAGGGGATACAAACGGTCGAGAGAGGGACGGGTCCCAAGTCTCTGATGGAATGGTCGAAAGGTCACCGAGAGCTTAGTCGCTGCTCAGCTGTGCGTGATGTGTGTTGTTGAATCGTATTGATTGATCTCTCTGTGAGTTGATCCATCAAAAGTCGATCCCCCCAGTGGGGGGCCCTGCCCTCCCTTTTATAGACAAAGGGGGAGCAGGGGTTACAGATGGGAGAAAGAGAAAATACAAAAGGCATAGAAGGTCCTTCGAGGGAACCGGGTCTTCCTTTTTCCCTGTGCCTGCCCTGTTTAACATGGCCGACCGTGTCCGAGGTGGCGTGTTTGCTGATCCTTGTAGGCCATGCCCTGGCCCCATTTAGCAAGTGGGTGTGTCCCATCCTACGCCAGCGGACGGTGCGTGCCGGAGAGCCGAGCTGTGACTCCTCGGGGAGTAATCGGGGAAGTGACCACATGTCCGTCACTGTAGATGATGTGAGTTCTGTCTTGGACCGTAGTGGCTGTCGTATGCCTATGTTAGTGTCCGTGCCCGATGGCTGAAGGCGGCGCCTACTATACTGTAGGACAAAACTCGGCGACCACAACACTATTCGGGCACTGTTATGATGGAAAGGGCCGAAAGCACCCGTCCCATCGTATCCTGTTGGTACCTTCCTGCAGGTGCACAAGGCATGGCCCTCAATATCATGGTTGACTCGAATGTCTTGTCGGACCCTGTGCTCGTCTTTATGAAGGATCAGGGTACGGTCATGGGGCGAGGCGGAGCTAGCCCTCAGTCGTCGGGCGAGGCAGAGTCTTGCCTTTAGCCGTCGGGCGAGACAGAGCCTGGCCCTCGGGGGTCGAGTGAGGCGGGGTCTAGCCCTTCGCCGTCGGGTGAGGCAGAGCCCACCCCCGGACGTCGGGCGAGGCGGAGGCCACTCTTAGCCATCGAGCGAAGCGGAGTCTAGCCTTTAGCCGTCGGGCGAGGCGAAGCCTAGTCCTCGAGGGTTGGGCGAGACGGAGCCCGCCCTCGGACGTGCGGAGCCCACCCTTAGTCATCGGGTGAGATAGAGTCCAGCCCTCGGTGGTTGGGCGAGGCGGAACTAGTCTTCCGTCGTTCGGGCAAGAAGCGCAGTAGTGCTCTTGTCTGACCGGAATCATCAACGTTCGATGGTCATTAGTTCCACCTCATTGGGTACCCCGGTATTAGGTCCTCGACAGTAGCCCCCGCCCCTCGGGTGATTTGGACAGAATCGCCTGGGGGGTATTTCAATACGCCAGAGGGTGCGTGCGAGCGCACCCATCGGGTGTAGCCGCCGGGTGATTTGGGTAGAATCGTCCGGGGGGTATTTCAATTCGTCAGAGGGTGCGCGCGAGCGCACCCGTTGGGTGTAGCCCCCGAGCCCTGAAAGGTCCTAATGGCTAGAGGGGGGATGAATAGCCTAATAAAATTTCTACAACAACACTTAACAAAAGGATTAGACAAATATGAGGCAAAACGAGTTTTGTGCTAGCCTACCAAAATGCAAGCCACCTACCACAATTCTAGTTTAGATGAAGTATATCCACACAATAGCTATATCACTACACTAAGTTAATGTGCTCTCAAATGCTAACTAAAGAGCCACACTAACCAAACTAATAAGCTCTCACAACTAGTTACACTAAATAGCTTGACAACTAGTTTGCGGTAATGTAAAGAGTAGGCAAGAAGGTTATACCGCCGTGTAGATGTATGAACCAATCAATCACAAATGTGG